AGAGCTCTCTTCAGTTCATCTGCCATTTCTGACATATCGCCACCATCTACAGCAAAGGGTGTTGATTAACCGATCTGTGGAAAACCAAGTCATCTAGCTCTGTCATGCTGCCACAGATACAACTCCAGCTATGTACCTCAAACACCCTCCAATACCCGAGTATTTCTCACTTAGAATCAGCCAACTCCTGCAACCGACTGGATACTGTACTCCGGTGCATCAACCCATCTCACGTCGGACATTACAAACCTACAACACTCTACTCCGTATCAGGGACAAGATTCAGTCGCAACGACAAGTGGATCGTTTCTTCCAATTCAGCACAGTGGGGCTGGCCTTCTACCTCTACCTGATACCAATCGTAAGCTTAAATTAAGACATCTTCTCCACATACCTTCCCTCACTCACAATTTACTTTCTATCTCTAGACTTACTACTGACAATAAATGCTCCATTTCCTTTTACTCCAATGGATTTGTCATGAAGGACCTCCTAGACAACAAAATTCTACTCCATGGACATAATCAAAATAGAATCTACCCTCCTCGCACTCAACATCACAACTCCGTTCAAGCTCTCAGCACCAAGCTCGACTCCATCTCTCTTTGGCATGCCAGACTAGGTCATCCTCTCCATCGCACGATGAAAATTCTCTCCAAGTTACTACCTAATACATGTAATAGCTCTCCAAATTTCTTCTGTACTTCCTGTAAAGTGGCCAAAAGCCACAAGCTTCATTTTCCTATGGAAGCCAATCATGTATCCTCCCTTTTCAGTTTAATACACACAGGCGTTTGGGCCCCTCCCCAGTTTCATCCCTACTTGGATATCGATACTATATAATATTTATAGATGGTTGTTCTCGATTCTACTGGTTATATATAATGCACTCCAAAAATGAAAGCTTTCTAAAATTTCAACACTTCTGTAATATGATAAAAAATCACTTCAAATCTCCCTTAGGCACACTCTGCTCGAATGGGGGCGGAGAATTCACCAACCAAGCATTTAAACAACTCCTCACTCACGGCATTAGTCACGAGTTTAGTTGTTCTTACACTCCGGAGAAAAACATAGTGTCTAAGAGGAAACACAGACACCTCATTGAAACGACACACTCTCCTGCACGCTGCAAATCTAAAACCAAATTTCTAGGTTGAAGCTGTCCAATCAGCCAATTACCTCATAAATAGACTGCCAACCTCCTCCCTCAAATCTCAAATTCCCTATCAGATTCTACATGGTCACCCACCCAAGTATGAGCATCTAAAAACATTCGGATGCTTGTGCTTTCCTTAGCTTCAACCTCAAACACCCCACAAACTAGCACCTTGCTCCATCGCCTGTATCTTCCTAGGCTACTCCACATCCCATAAAGGATACCGCTGTTACAACCCTCAAAATCAAAAGCTTCACATCTCTCATCATGTTATCTTTCAAGAACAACACTTCCCCTCAACAAATCACATACAAACACCAACCATCACCAAATCTACCTCCCCTTCACCTCTCCTACTAATTCCTACATCCACATACTCCACTCCCCCGCAATTACCTACCCAACCTTCTTCAGAACCAGACTCTCCAAACACCCAACATGCACCTTCTCAACCAAACCACTCCTCTTCCCACACATCTTAGTCATCTCACACAACCACACCAAATTCTCCAAAACCATGCCAGGTTTCCCTACACCAAATGCAAACCAGGTTTCAAACAGGTCATCTTAAGTCAAAGAAGATATCCGATCTACTTGCCATAACAGACTCGACTCACACACCCTCCTGCTACTCTCAAGCAGCCAAAATGTCCACGTGGAGAAATGCTATGTCGGCTGAATTCATGGCCCTTCAAAAATAGGGCACATGGTCTCTCACACCTCCACATCATGCTCCAGTATTAGGATGTAAGTGGACATACAAAACCAAAATGAACACTGACGGCACGGTCAATCGTCACAAAACAAGACTTGTAGCACAAGGCTACACTCAGCAGCACGACATTAACTATCAAGAGACATTTAGCCCAGTGGCTAAAATAGTAAAATGTCAACCATTAGAGTACTTATCATCATCTCACTTCAAAGAAACTGGCCAATTCTACAATTTGATGTTGCCAACGCCTTTCTTCACGGTGAACTTCTAGAAGAAGTTTTTATGCAGCAACCACAAGGTTTCATCAACTCTCGGTATCCTAATCATGTGTGAAAACTAAACAAGGCCATCTACGGCCTCAAACAGGCTCCGAGGCAGTGGTTCCACAAGCTCACCAAATTCCTCCTCAACTATGGTTTTCGGTTTAGTCAAGCTGACCGGTCTCTATTGCTCTACACCACTCAACACGTTCAACTCTATCTATTGATTTATGTAGATGATCTGCTCCTGACTGGGAATCATCCAAATACCATACAGCTACTCCTAAATCAACATCAACAAACCTTTGCACTGAAGCAGCTAGGTACAACAAAACTTTTCCTTGGCATTCAAATCATTCACGCCAATGCCGTCCTATTTCTGCATCAGTCGCACTATGCCAAAGATATTCTGCTCTCCTCTGGGTTTGACTCATGTAAACCAATAGCAACTCCCATCTCCACAAAGAACTCCTAGACATTCACAAATCAAACTCCATATGAGAATCCAACACTCTACCGTCAGTTTGCAGGCTCTCTGCAATACCTCACCGTGACAAGGCCTGACATTGCCTTTGCAACCAACGTTATATGTCAACATATGCACAACCCAACCGTTCAAGACCATCTGCTTCTCAAACATCTCCTCAAGTACATCAAGGGGATGCAAAACTATGGGTTACCACTTTCTCCCGGCAAACTAAACCTCTCCACATACAGCAATGCGGACTGGGCATCCAACTCTGAAGACAAGAAATCCATTATTGGAATCTGCACTTATCTCGGCCAAAATCTCATATCATGGAGTGTTACCATGGCGATCCTCCACGGAAGCTGAATATAGGGCCCTCACTGCTGCAACCTTCGACGTTCTTTGGCTACGTCGTCTAATAGATGATTTCTAGGTCTCACAACAACCACCAACCCCAATCTTCTGCGACAATGTCTCCGCTCTGGCTCTCGCGAATAACCCAGTTGTTCACGCGAAAACCAAACATATTGAGATAGATCACCACTTCATAAATGATCATATCAAAAACAAAGCAATCGAGGTTTCACACATCAGCTCTATTGATCAGTCGGCGAACATACTCACCAAGCTCATGTCAGCTATCATATTTGCGGCTATGAGAGACAAATTAACTATCTACAAATCAGAGAGTTCATTTGAGGGGGGCTGTTAACACATCTCTAACTATCACTTGCAATTCAACCACACTATTGTGTACACCTACATCAGCAGCACAAACCCACTCACCTGATACCGCAGTCTGCCACAAACCGCTAGCTAACATTCTCCAACGACCTGTCTCCTAATACCTCTATAAAACACTCACACTGTGTATTCCTGTAACATGGGATGAAATGAAAATTAATTCACTATCTATGTTCTGTCTGCTGCTTTACTAACCAGTGCAGGTCTTTCTTCACCCACTAGGTGTCTGTAACTGGTTGGGTCAGCAAAAGGAAGCATAGCATCTGGTGAATCGCCCTTTTTGCTAGAAATATATTTCTAAAAGGTTTAAATTTGCTAGAAATATATTTCTAAGAGAGGTTTACACTCAACCATACATGCACAATGTAAGATTGCTGAAGCATAGTTAGAATGATGTAGGAGTAAACCAGTTGCATTTTTGAAATTATTACTCATCAGTAAAAATATCATTCAGATGCATAAGTAGGTAAAGTAATGTAGAGTATTTAGAGTAGATTAAGAGTGATGGATTAGCTGTACTGACTGCGAAGCCCCATTGAATAAGATTCTCAGTGAAGATGGAAAACAATTGCTGAGGAGCTTACTTTATACTATAGATAGCCTTATGAAGTTTGCAAACATATGTTGGACGATTGGGATCTTTAAAATCGGGAAGTTCAATCATGTAGACAATCTCAAATAATTGCCCATGGAGAAAGGCATTAGACACATTTAGTTGGCTAATTTCTCATTGGTTGCGAAGAGTAGTGGAGAGAAAAAAAAAGTAGTTTGTAGTTTGACAACAGAACTAAATGTCTCAATAAAGTCCAACCCATATTCTTATTGAGAGCCTTGCGCTAACAGACGAGCCTTATATTGAGCAATAAAACCTTCATCATTAAGCTTAGTTCGAAAGAACTATTTACAACCAGGAACATTTTGATGAGGATGAGGTGGTACTAATGTCCAAGTGCCTTAAGTATAAAGCTTGAAATTCATCATACAATGCTTGCCCCCAATTAGGATATTTTGCATTTGTAGTGTAGCATGTGGGGTCATTAAATATGTTGTTGTAATGAAGATGACTGAAGATATAATGTGGTTTCGGATGAACAGATTTAAATCTAGTAATGATGGGGCGAGCTATAGGGGTAGCAGGAGGTAACGTGAGAGATTCAAGAGAGTTGGTTGACGTTGTTAAACAAATTGGTTTGGGAGATTGTTGAGTAGAATGGTGGGTAGGTGAGGAAGAGAAGGAAATATGTTATGGGCTTGCAAATTGAGATACGGGTTGAGGTGGAGAGTAAGAGGGGGACAAGAGTGAGAGGAGTATAAAAAGAGTTGTTGTTGACTAATGCTGCAACAGGAGAAGGACATTGTTTAAAATGAAAGATGTGTTCTTGAGAAAGGACAATGATGGATGTGCACACCATCCCTGTGATAGGATTAAAGTAGAGATATCCTTTGGAAGTTTCTGCATATCCAAGAAAAGAAATTGAAAGAGCTTTGGGGGAAAGTATATGGTGAGAATGAGAATGTAGAAGCAGATAACACTGGCACGTATAGTTGAGTTGTATGTTCTTTACCCCTTTTTGTTCCAGCTACCACGCAATTTTCTAACAGAACAAAAAAAGACAAACAAATTACTTCCGGTAACAAATTTGAACAGCATACGTGGAGATCAGCAAGTAGGCAAGCGATAGAAAGCGCCCGGGACAGCGGCGGACGGCCGTCGGAAGAATGGGGCAGAGAATTGAGTAGAGGAATAGTGAGCTTCAATGACTTGAAGAGCAGTTGGGAAGAGAAGGTGGTCGAGATCTCGCCCATTCTCCCAGTTAAATCATTGAAAGCTCCCACAAGCTCCACCACCATCTTACCGCCGCTGAGGTCTACTGCCATGGGGATGATCGGAGAGTCGGCAGCCAGTGAGCGGACTCCAAAGTGGGGTTTGTAACAGGAATGTGAAGGTAAGACGACCAAGATGTGCGGTGGCGGGTAGGCGCGTTGGGTTCCTGGAGTGAAGAGGGGAGTAGAGTGGAAAATGCGGTGAGTAGAAACAGACATTCCGGCGTCGGATTCATCTCCACTGGGAGAGGGAAAGTGTATTTCTATTTGTGGAAGTGCACTTGCGGATAAGGTTGACGTGGGAATTTTTTGGTTTACCACGTTATGTAATTGCCGAGTAAAATAACATTTATTTTATTTCCTCAACATGCAATATGAACAAAAAAATGTCATGATATAACAACATGTAATTTGTGCCATTAATTTATAAATGATATATGAATCATACACATTTTAGAATAAATTAAAATAACTGTTGTGCGAAATGTCCTAGGCAAATTCTAGTAGTTATAATTAATAATAAAAGTTATAGAAATTTTGATTTTTTAGCTAGGTGGCATTTCAAAAGACTAGAAGAACTCAATAGAAATTTTTCATTACACTAGGAGTCCCAAAAAAAAAAGATAAATTTTACTACAATTTGAGAGGTTAAAGGTGAGGAATTTTTTGGTAATGACAACTACCATAAGGTGTTTCCAAAAGGTTGTAGCATGAGCCTAAGGCTTCCATCAAGTGAAGCACTTATCAATCCACCATCTAGCCAACATAACATCATAAGAGAGTAGCCGACAAACAAGTGAACATTTATAATCATTGGTAAGAGTAGCAAGAGTGGGACACTCGGTCCCCCAAGATGTTTAGGCTTATAGTGTTCAAGCAGGATATGAGGTGAAGTCTCCTAACATGAGTGCCCCCATGAAATAAAAATCTAATAGCTAACTTGTTGAAGGATTTAAAACATTTTTTGGCAAAATGGCTCCTTTAATCCAATAAAAAATTGTATTTCATATAGTGAATCTCAAGAAATAAAGTTTGCCCAACAAAGAAAGAACCTTGGCCTTATATCCTTGGAGCAAGGAGGCAACATTGCTAATAAGAAGCTAAAAATCAGCCACTCTTACATTTTTAGTAGAGATGGGAATGCACAGATAAGTGAATGCAGTGGAAGTCTCAAAGAGATTGTAGTTACAAAATAACTAATTCTTGTTGGGAGCATGTTTAAAAAAAACAATAATAGTGCTTTTAGCATAATTCATATCTAGGCTAGAAATTGTTTTAAAATTCCTAAGGATGTTCCAGAGAGATTCTATATTTGTGTTATTCTCCTTATGAAAGACTAACAAGTCATTAGCATTGAGTAGGTAGGAGAGACCGATATCTCTCGAATTGATGGCTTTATAGTTCTATGAAGAAGTGGCTCTATCAAAGAGATGAGAAATCCCATCCATGATAATACAAAAATAAATAAGTAGATAAGGGGCACCCTTTCCTTAAACTAGAGGAATACCCATATAACCCCTCAAGGGAGCCATTAAAATAAACAGAATAATACACATTGATGATGTAAGTTTTAATCCAACTAATAAACATTGATGGGAATAGCTTTAGTTGTAATATGTACAAAATGAACTCTCTTGATACAATATCAAAGGCTTTATATATGTCAATTTTGGTATAAAAGAAATTCTCCCTTTTATTATTATTAAATGTAATGATCACTTCATTAGCCATAATGATATTATCTAAGAGAATTTATTGTGGGGGGAAACCATTCTGATTGGGGCGAATGATATAGCTCATAATGGGCTCAAGCCTAGAATAGATGATCTTGGTAATAATTTTATATAAAATATTACGAAGGGATATGGGACTATAGTCATTGTTTGAAGCTAAAAGAGAAGTTTTTAGGATTGTTAAGTATAAATTGTGTATTATTTATTACATTTAAATTCAGAGAAATTGTGTTATTTTTATTATGTTTGTATAGGAAATGTTTAGAAAAAGGTAAAAAAAATTCACAAGTATTGAGCCAACACCGTAGTGGTCCAAATTTAAATGTCATAGTGTCTACAATGCCTCGATGCTAGACTATGGAATTACAGTGTCAGTGCCTAAAAAATGGAAAATAATTCAGTGCCCTAGTGGAACCAAGGTCAGCACTGTAACGCTCCATAGTGTTGAGTGTTAGAAATATGTGCCACAACACTTGAGTCTCAGGAATTTAAATACTAGAGCATCGATCATCATAATACTGCAATGCTAGACTCTACATTCAAGTGTCGTAGCTCTCCAGTTTCCTAGCATTGCAGACAAGTAGTTGGTAAATGATAGAGCTAGCCGATTTAGTCAACTAACGCACTAGTTCAGCCAATAGATGTGTCAAGTTAATGCAGTACAATAGTGAAGTAAGCTTAACATGCCAAGGGGCTAGTTCACTTGGTAACGTTGTGGCGCTGCCATTTTGAGCGCCATGCTTCCTAAGGTTGTTTATGCACTTACTATAAAGAGTTTTTTAATTCTTTTTTAGGAGTTTTGTCACTTTCAATAGAGTCCTGTAATATTCAGTGTAGTTTTATAGAGCCCCCTTAGAGTAAAGTCTATGGAAGGCTAAGGAAGTGCAAGATACTTTCATTGGAGATCTTAGTCTATCTTATGTAAGCAATCCTAATATTTGAGGAGGAAGGTGTGTGGAGAAGCCAATTATATTATCCTGGTGATAACTGTAAATTATGTAGTATTTTACTTAATTTATTTTTGGTGAAAATATATTATTTTAGTTATTTTTATAGAAGAAAAACTAAAAATTGTCAAAAAAATTCTAAGGATCCTATAGCGCCGCAGCATCCGATGAAACAACATCGTAGTGCCATAAACCAGACATTACATCACCAAGTTCTCTGTTTGCCAATGTTGCGGCGGCAATACAGCCAGCATCACAACATCAAGAAGTTAGCTTGACAGCACTGGATACTCTACTTTCAAATGCCACAACACCATAAATTCTCACATCTTGGTGCCATTTTTGCCCTCAGGCGCCACAACACTGGAATGTCAATAGCGTTGTGACATTATATTTGTAACTTCTAAGAGCCATATTCTATAAGTGAATATATGTGACTTTTCACGAAGTAACTGATCCACATCAGTAAGTGCTATGCTAGTGCAAAAGTTTCTATGCCAAGGCATTAGTTCAATTCAATGGCACCGCAGCATCACTCTTACAAGTATCGCAGTGCTATATGCCTTTTTGTCTTGTTCTATAAATAGTTATGATATTATGTTTTTAAGGGAGTTCAGTCACTTTTATAAAATTCAATATTTCTTGGAGTACTTCTATAGTTCCCTCTTAGAGTAAAATCTAAGTGAGGCTAGAGAAGTACATGATATAATCATTTGGAATGTTTAACCATATTTATTGAAGCAACTTTGTTAGTTAAGGAATGAGTGTAGTGGAATACTTTAATCCTTTTGGTGTTATCACTCTCTTGTATTTTTGTTCTTTCATGACTTTAATGAAAATGAGTTTGCTTATTATTTATTCAACTTGTGCTAATCTTTTGATTTTAGATTGATGATGTAAAGTGCACGTTAAGTACTACTAAAGACACTTATTTTATAATTATTAAATAATGTTTTTAATATTATCCTATTATTAATTTAATGTATATAGTGGTCATATATGTAGTTACAATATAGTGTGATGTATAGCTTCGATGGAGGAATACAAAAATAATAAGAACATTAAGATAAGATAGTTGAATGCCTAGACATATGCTATAAAATATTTTAGGTTCCTAAGGAGATACTATAACTATAGGTGGTCAAAAGATATCATTTTCATCCCTACAAGCTTGATAGAGATCTAGGGATATATATGTTCTAAATCACATTTAAAATTAAGAGTCTCATTAGGAAAGATATGAAATTTACACTCATAAATAAAAACTACTTTTATTCAATATTGTATCCAATATCTTTACTAGTTTATTCAGTGATATATATCATTTTTATTTTATTAGGATAATCATTATAATTAGACTAAATGATAGTCATTTATTGTAAGTAAGCATACTTTCTAGTGGGTTTGACACTCTAATCCAACACTTTACTATTGGATTTAACATGTATACTTGCATTTATTAAGTGGGGTTTTATTATTTTTATATCAAAGAATATCTACGCATTATTTAGGGGTGATAGAGCCCTATACTTTTATATAATTCAAAAGTTCACTCCACAGCCCTCATCAAGTTTTTGTTATATTAGGGAAGTATTTTATTTTTTATAATTTTAATTATATTATTAAATTAATTACATAATTAGACATACTTGTATCTATTATTTTATTTATTTTATTTGATGATTTCATATTCATGGTTGCATACTTTATATATTATATATATATATATATATATATATATATATTGAGAAGATGCATATAGCAATTTTATTAAAGAAGCAAATTACAAGACTCTAAGTGATAGCTACTCTATCACCTTCCTCCTTTAATAAAGAAATAAAATAAGGAGGAATATTATTACAAGACAAATCGTCCCAAAAAAAATCTATAGAAAGAACAATGTTAGGACAACAATCGACTAACTTATTACCATCTCTACCAATACAATGAAACAAAATTTGATTGAAATCCATTAGAAAAGAGAAATCAATACCTTTGCCGAGATCAACCTTGAACTCCCCTTTATTCACCAAGTTTTGAATAAATTTAATCACATTATAATTATCACCTTCTATGATAATTCCTTTTGCTTCAAACATCCATTCTTGCAAGAAAATTTTCAATGATAGAATAGAATACAATTCCAGTTGAGAAATATCCCAATGTAAATAAGAGGATCCATAAGTATATAAAAATCTTCCTTTATAATCTCTAATGACACCTCCAACACCACCTTTATAAGAATTTAATAGTGAAGCGTCAACATTAAGCTTGATCCATTCGGGAGGAGGAGAATACCAAAAAGAGGACAGCTTATTCAGCCGGTTAGTATCCCAGTAATCCGAATATACATTTAGCTTAAAGGAGGACATTGCATTGAAAATTGAATTTGTTTCAATAGAAGAAATATCATTTTCTTTCTTATCATGAACCAACGAATTCCTGCTCTTCCAAGTAAAGAATACAGTTGAGCAATACAAATTAGCCAAAAAAGGATTTGAGCTGGATAATTTAGATAAGATCAGATAACAATCCTCCAAATTATAGTTAACCAGAACATGAAATCCCCAAGAGATTAATAGTTTTAAAACAT